TTTGTTCATTAGAAATTGGTTTTCAAATTCTTCCAATGACTAAATCAATTGATTAGATTGATTGACAACTTTATGAATTTGATTGATTAACACTTACCAAATCGGACAAATGATTAATAGAAACACCTGGATTGTTGGTTGTTTGAACATATTTCAATGATTCCAGGAAATTTTCCCGGGCAATTTCTTCTTGTTCATCGGTAGCATAGGTTTTATTGTAGACAGCTTTAAATTCATCAAATGTTTGAATCGGCGAAGATGGACGAGCCAAAACATTGCTGAATATCGACAGTAACAACAAGAAAATGGCAAAAATCAATTTCATATTTCAAAGTACAATAAGAGAAAAACAAAACAATGCAAAATATGGTTAGATTGACAAATGTTGATGCTTAAATATACAGAGATAAAAGAAATCATAAATGTTTTTAATGTCGTTAATTGCATCCATGGATCTTTAAATCATTTGATTTAATTGCAAGGCAAAGATATTTTGTTGTTTTCTGGTTTTTTATGATGATTTTCTCAAAATAAAATTCTCCAATAAAATGTTGTTGTTGTTTGTTGTTTGTTTTTCTTCTGGAATATTGTTTGTTTTTCCTGCTTTTTTATTATTATTACCATTTTTATCAAAGAAACCTTCATTGAAAAAAACAAATTTTTTTCTCCTTGTTTTGCTGTCAAAATCGATCAATCAATCAATCAATGGAATGTGATTAATTGATTTAATGTTTATAAAACCATTAGTTTTATCTTCAGTATCTCAGTTTGATCTTTTCTATTTAATTACAATGAAAAATTTTAAGCAAAAAAAATCAAAATTAAAATTTTATTCAATCATTTTCTTCAATTATCTAGATTATAAATGATATATGATTTTTCTGTTTCATTTTTCAAAGAAAAAAAAGAAACAATTTTTTTCCCTTTAGTAATTCTAGAAGTAATGATTAGCAACAAATGGATATTGTTCAATTTGCATTAGATTTTTGTTAGCAGCAATATAACCATAACCTTTATCACCCCATGTTATATCCCAATTATTTCGTATGATCCAATAATCTAAACCTTGAAAATTACCATAACCAACAATATTGATTGCATGATATGTTACTTGTTGTTGTTGATCAGAATAATTATCATCGCGAATAATTGTA